GAGGAGGAGGAGGAGCAGGAGGAGGAGGAGGAGCAGGAAGAGGAGGAGGAGCAGGAGGAAAAGGAGGAGCAGGATGAGGAGCAGGAGGAGGAGGAGGAGGAGGAGGAGCAGGAAGAGGAGGAGCAGGAGGAGGAGCAGGAGGAGGAGGAGGAGGAGGAGGAGCAGGAAAAGGAGGAGCAGGAAGAGGAGGAGCAGGAAGAGGAGGAGGAGCAGGAAGAGGAGCAGGAGGAGGAGCAGGAGTGAGAGCCAGTCGAGCTGGGAGCTGGGCAGGGAGCTGGCGTTCCTCGCTCGGTACTCGAACAGAACTGAAGAGGAGATGGAACCTCCGGACTCCAGAACCTGCAGACACACCAGACCGGCCTCGTGGGCTGAGGGAGCACACACACACATCAGGTCATTTATCCCTGCCAGTGTGTGTGTGTGTGTGTGTGTGTGTGTGTGTGTGTGTGTGTACCGGGGCAGTAGCAGCGCAGCACTCCAGGCTGGATCAGTGACGCAGGGACGGTGCTCTGATCGAAAACACAGGAGTATCGACCCAACAGCTCGCTCCACGGTCCTGTTATCAGAACCTTCACCCCTCCCTGAACACACACACACACACACACACACACACACACACACACACACACACACACACACACACAGAAGGAAAACTATGAACACACAGGGATGTACTCAACAGATGAAATAGATGCATGTCTACTTAGCTGGCCTGTAACTGGCCTGCAACTGGTCTGTAACTGGCCTGTACCTCACTGAGCAGCTCCAGTGTTAGTGTCATGTGGTGACTCAGCAGCGACACTCTGGCGCCCCCGTGTGGTCGGGCGGCAGAAGAGCACAGACTGCAGCTCAGTGTGAAGCTGAGCAGTTTAAATGATCTGATCGTGACATTTCTGATCAATAATGTCATTTTTTTCTTACGTACTTTTATACAAACGTCTCTTTATGTACTGGACATTCAAGCTGCAGCAATTAATTATATATGTATTAATTAAAATAATTAAGCTGCAATATTTTGATAATCAATTAATGATTTCAATTATTTTTCAAGCAGATATGTCAAATGTTCAGTGGCTCCTCCTTCTCCCTGTGACATCACTGCAACCTGACAAACTGAAGACTAATGATAATGAAACAAGAGACATTGTTTGCTAAAATCTAAACATCAACTAACGAATGCTTTCATTATTGATTGATCAGCTGATTATTTCCTTGATTGATCATTTTGTCTATTAAATGTCAAAAACATTATTTCCCTCAGCTCACGCCGAGCGTCCTGTCAGGAAATCAATGTTCTCCACTGGAACCTGCAAATAATTGACTGAGTGATTGATCGATTACCAATAAACAGTTAATTTTCTGTTGATTGCCTCGTTGTTGCAGCTGTTTAATTATTGTGATTGATTACCTCAGGGTAGGACCACTCTGGGGAGAAATCAGTGATGGAGGCGAGGCGGGTGGAGGAGGAGGAGGGCAGCGGGTGAGGGAAGGGGAGGAAGGAGGAGGAGGGTGAGGGCTGGGGGGGCACCATGTATCGGACCCCCGCTGGGAACACGGCCGGGTTTGGCGTGGCGGTGACGGGCTGAGCTGCGACAGGATTGGCCTCCTCGGTGATGAGGTCAGAGATGAGGTCAGGAAACTGGCTGTCGAAGGAGATATCAAGCTCCTCCCCTCCCCGCTCGCAGGGCTCCGCCTCCTCCTCCAGGTGCGTGTCCATGCAGGTGTCCTCGGAGTCGTAGCCCCGCCTGCTCTCCTCCTTCACCTGAATCGGGGCCGTCGCCAGGTGAGCGGTAGCCATGGCAACAGCAGCGGGGGCGGACACCGTGTTAGCTTTAGCACTGGCGAAAAGCGACGACTGCTGCAGCACCAGGGGCTGATGGGAAGCCTGAGCCGGGGACGGGGCGTCAGGCACAGACAGGTGATTGTAGGGCCGCCTCAGGGCCAATGGCTGTCCATCAGTCTGTCGCTGTGTCTGATTGGCCGGCTGGGTGGGATGGGCTGCTGAGTCTTGGCAAACCAGGAGCAGTGAGGCGGCGCTACTTCCCGTCTGTTGCTGTGGCGATGAGGCGGAGGAGGCGTGGCTGGGCTGAAGGATAGAGAGATAAAGAAAGGAAACCCTCAGACACGAGTCACAGCTCAGACTCCAACACAGACCCTGAGAGAGCGACGGCGCCGGTTCCTTCAAAGACTTCTCGTATTTTAATTGGAGTCACTTCCTGGTTTTCATCCATTTTATAATCCAGTGAAACACAGGTGAGCGCACAGACAGTCACAACCAGGTGACCCACAGACATCAATCATCAGGTCAGCACAGGCGGAGCCTCGACATCAGCAGAGTTTCAGACACAAACGTTTCTATCTGAACGTGACAGTCGTGGTTATGACACGTGGGGCTGTGTGAGGTCGTCGTGTACAGTGCGAGTCACCTGCAGGAGAGTGCGTCAGGAGAGGCAGCAGGAAACACTAACACAGTGATGAGCTGCTGCCTAACAAGAACTTACAAACAGTTCTAATCCATCGGCTGATTAATCCATTAGTTTCAGCCTTGATTAGAAAAGAATCACTAAATCAAACATCACTGTGACGCCACGAACTGAAGACCAATGATAGTGAAACGACATATTTCAATATGCTGCTAATATTTAAATCAGGGCTGGCAGATAAAACAATATCAATAACTGTCATGAAATGATTTTCCTCGATAGAAACATTAAATTGTTTGATATAATCAGTTTCCATGGTTATAAAACGCCCACTAATGAATCACGAACAGCCAATCATCCGTCTGCATTGCTCAGGTTAGGCTGCGCGGCGAGAGGACTGACCTCAGACCAGCACATGACATTATTACAGACGACGCAGGAAAAGCAGAACGCGGCTCGGAGGACGAAGATATCGTCGACACTCGACATCTGTAGTTTGGAGAAAAGTGGAAACTGAAACACGAAGACAGGCGACTCCACAGACCTGTTCCTTCATCTGCAACAACCACACACAGGAAGGAAGAAACCACAGGTCCTAACGAGTGCTGGTGGACCCTGGACCAGCGCCAGGCCACGACCCGGTTCTGTTGATGCTGCAGTGTGATCATGTGACGTGTCACTGCACAACTTCATTCTCTATTCACTTTGATTAACAAGGACGGAGATTTTAATCTTGTGTATTTGATGATGTTTGAGTGTTTGAAGTGTTGCTCGTGTTCTGACTAATAGAACCGTTCAGAACCACAAACTGTTGGTTCCTTCAGCTGTCACTCAGCAGCAAAGATCAGCCTTTAAATGATATTTTATGAAATATTATTTCCCTCAGCTCACGTTGTTTCCTGTGGGACGTAAATATAATATAATATAATATATTTATATAAATAATCAACCAGCCGGTCAATTAAAACTTTGTTGATAAAATGTGGCAGAATAGTGACATTGAACATGGATCGGTTATTGCTCTGAATCTGAGCCAGGTAGATCCTCTGTCTCACCTGCAGCAGAGCCAGCTTGGTGGGCGGAGCTCTGCCTTCATCGTCATCATCGTCATCGTCATCATCATCATCTCTTCTGTCCTTCACCTCTCCTTCTCTCCCCACCTTTTCCTCCTCCCTCACTCCCCCCGACTCCCCCAGAGCTCCCAGCTCCAGGCAGAGGGGGAGGAGGGGCGGGGCCACAGAGGAGGTGGGACACAGTGAGAGGGAGAGGGAGGGGGGGAGTGTGGACGAAGGTGGGGAGGACGACGAAGAGGAGGAGGAGAGGGGGGGGGCTGAGTCTCTCCTGTCCGCCTCCGAGGAGGAGGAAGAGGAGAGGGAGGAGAGCGAGGAGGGAGGGGACACCGAGGAGGGAGGGGTGGAGGTGGGGGAGAGGGAGAGAGCAAGAGAGGGGGGAGACAGAGGGGAGGAGGAGCAGAGGACAGGGGAGGGGGTGGAGGAGGAGGGAGGAGGACCGCCGTACGTCTGGCCCTGTTTTGGGGAGTTGAGGAAGGAGTCTGGGTCAAAGGCGGGGAGGGGAGAGATGGGGGAGGGTGGGGGCGGTGTAACGGGGAAATGGGGGTAGAAGGAGGGGAGGTGGCGGCAGGAGGAGGAGGGGAGCAGAGGGAGGTGGTGGAGGATGTGGTGTTTGATGAGGAGGGGGTGAGGAGCAAGCCTCCAATGACAGGGGAGGGGAGGAGGGTGAGGGAGAGGGTGGCCACACCTGGCGCCTGTACGGGAGGAGGGGGGAGGGAGGAGGGAGCAGGTGAGGAGGAAGAGGAGGGAGGGGAGGGGGAGGAGGGCTTGCCGGCAGCAGGAGGGGGGAGAGCGGGGGAGAGCAGTAACTGGCCGGATTGAGTGAGTGACAGGCTTCCCCTCTGCCCCGCCTCCTCCCCTCTGGCCCCGCCCACACCGCCACCTCCCCCCTGCCCCCCTCTTCCTCCTGCGAGTGCGGTTGTCGTCGCCATGACGATCACAGCATTCTGGGGCAGCGCCACTGTCGTCAGGTTACTGCAACGGTCGCTGTAGAAGCCATTGCCGTGGTTACTCATGGTGATGGTGGCTCTGTGGGGCTGAGGCGGAGAGGAGGCGGAGCTACAGAACAGAGACACGACACGTGTTTATTTAGACGTGTAACATACAACACAACACGCCCACACAGACTGTGACATCAGAGCAGTGATGTCACGTGACCAGCTGTGTCACCACTTACGTGGAGGAGGGGCTAGGAGACGACACCGGGCTGCTCTGAGCCTGGAGGTGGGGCAGTTTGGCTTCTCCTCCTCCCCCTCCCCTCCCCGCCTCCCCCGCCTCAGAGGAGAGGGGGGAGGGTCTGCAGGAGGAGGGGGGCAGTTTGGGGGAGATGATGCGATGCTTGGTGCTGTTACAGCGGTGGGGAATGTTCACTCCTGTAGAAACTACACACACAGAGACACAGGCAGGGGGTTAGTCTGAGCCACATGATGTCACGGTGATGTCACAGTGATGTCACGGCAAGGGGAGTTACCCTGGGCGGTGTTACACAGACAGGTGTGTGTGCGAGGCTGTGGCTTGGTTCTCTGTCGGTCCAGGATGTGTTGAACCAACTCCTCGATGCTGAAATCTCCTGAGCCCAGTGAACACTTCATACTGTGAACTGACACACACACACACACACACAGGTTAACGCACACACACACACACACACACACACACAGGTTAACGCACACACACACAGGTTAACGCACACACACACACGCACACACAGGTTAACGCACACACACACGCGCACACAGGTTAACACACACACAC